ATTTTCTTATGAAAGTTGCTTCTTTCTGTGGTTCTTAAGATGACAAGCTACTTTATTGGAATGATTTTGTCTGTTATTCATGAAAAATATCTAATCACTTTTCACGTAGCGGTTGCAAAAAATGTTCTTATGGATGTAGGAACATGATATTCGATTTATTCGCAGCCCTTACTCTCTCCCAGAAGAGAAACTCGGACAACTTTAGAATGAAAAATTTCATTCTGCTTTTTTGAAAGGGCAGCGTCATCTATTGAAATAGAAATGGTAGTAAGCTAACTATCAGTCAGTCAAATATAATCTTATATTCACAATATAGACGGAATGTATTATTACACAGGTCTCGTGTTCTAGTCTTACGTGTTCTCATCGCAGGCACGGTATTTTGTTTACCTGTTTTGATATATCCTCGATCCAACATTGTCTTTGTCGTAATTCCTGACGCTGCAGTAGATTCGAAATTTGTGGTACAGCTGTCATTCGTTATCACGATAGGTATCAAACAGATTAGCACTTCAGCTCCTTTATGATCTGAAAAGTAAGCTTTGAACTACAAGGTGGTTCATGACTCGTTATTTTCTTTAGAACTGGCTTAGGATGTTGGTAAAACTAAGCCGTTTTGTAGAATATCGCGAATTGCCTATGTTAATTTTACTCTAGTTTTATTCTCTGCCTGCTGGTTGAAGACCCTACAGACGGCCAAGAATTTGGAGCAGGCACTCAACGAATTCCGCTCCAGACTTAGGCTATTTTCCGTCGAAACTCAAACGCTGTCACAGAATCGGCAACGGTTAGGAACACTGTCTGACAGTTCTTCCTCCGTGACTCGAAGGGATAAGCGGTCGTCGAAACTGACTGGCTAACTATTTTGATCAGTCTGCTTCTTGAACGCTCCAATTTTGTATCCCTACCCCGAAACCATAAGCATGATGCGGAAATATGTGAGTTCGGGATTCTTCCCATGCTTGAGGTGCAGTAATCTTCTGGTGAGTTCCGTCATGCGTGCTGTTGAAACTCAGTGATGAGACCATTTCCTAATTACCGTGTTTATCTTGCATTGTGCAAGTAGGAGATGACTGGTTGCATTTTAAATCTATCCACAGTAGCTTCTTTTGAGATGGGACTTCTGAATTTCTTCCATCCAGTTTTCGGAGCAATATGTACGGGTAACGCGAGGAACAACTCTGTCATTTTAAAACTGACTTCATTCCATTGATCCATTTGACTTCAAAAATTTTTTTCAGCCCGTTCTATAGGCGTTCTTTTATGTGATTCGTTTGTTGGCCTTTGTCAAGTAATAAGCAATGTTTATTATCGATTAACTGAGTTTACCTTAAACATTAATAAAAATTTATTCATTAGCTGACCGCTCACATTGCAGATTGGAGACGGCAATGAAAAGCTGGTCGAATATAGCCAGCCTGTTGGGACAGACGTGCAGTTGTACGAAACCTCGACTCAGGACAATCGCACTGATACACAGCATGTTCAAGAACAGGAGGAAGAAGGAGTTTCTAGTTCAAGCAACAAAGGTACACATAGCTTCCGGGTTTTTTATTTCACCACATTATAATAGTTAATCGAAACGAATACGCTCTATAATCAGCGACTGGCCAAGATTTAAGAAATCTCCTTTGGTGTGCTGAACTATGCTTTAAATACATTTTTGAAATGCATTGTTAAAACTTGTTCATAGAGGTCATTGATCTTTGTAACTACAATCACGACTGGTCGTTTTAGCAGTATTCTGAGCTTCATCAGTCAATGGGACTGAATCAGACTGAATATCTACTAAGCGATCCCCTGTACATCGCATAAAATCGTCACCATTGATATTAAAATTAGTAC